GCTCTGAGGGTTTAGTGTTTAGGCTTGGGGGACTACGCAGGGTTTAGGGCTCTGAGGGTTTAGTGTTTAGGCATTGGGGACTACGTAGGGTTTAGGGCCTAGGGTTTAGGGCTCTGAGGGTTTAGAGTTTAGGGTTTTGGGGACTACGTAGGGTTTAGGGCCTAGGGTTTAGGGCTCTGAGGGTTTAGTGTTTAGGCTTTGGGGACTACGTAGGGTTTAGGGCTCTGAGGGTTTAGGGTCGCTCTTTTCTAGGCATGCTCCTTTCCGCTTCAGACTCTGTTACGCCCCCCTCCCAGAAATACCGAAACCGTCCAAAAGAACTTGCAAAGCAACCCGACCCTTATCCCTACACGCAGCCTGGTGTCCCAGATTTCAGAAAAGTCACTCCTCCCTACGACTGAACCCCTGAACCCCTGAAGCAGCCGAGGATTGCTGCCAAGCTTGCCGTGCAGGCCGAGCCCTCCGAGGCGGTGGAGCCGGGTGCCTCAGAGGTTCCTTGGCTTGAGATCTTTACTTTCGTGCCTTTAGGGTTCAGGGCTTAGGGTTAAATTCAGTGCTCTTATAGGAAGTACGCATTTTCTGCTTTTTATTTCATGATACAAGTTCAAGGGACGATTAAAGTCGATATTTTCCGTGTTATGGTTCCAACGGCGCTGAAGGATAGGGCTTCGGTTAGAGGGGTCGGAATATATCGGAAGAGACACTGATTAATAGAGGGCTTTCGGCTTACGATGGGGTGATGCAGTTTGTCTATGAGGGGTGTGTAGGGTTAGTCAGGGCTAAGGAATGATTGATGATAGCATCCCCTGATAGTCCCTATATACTTTATAGGAGCATATACACCAAAATCTTATTCTAGTCTGAGAGGAGCACCTTGCACCCTTTTAATGTGTGTAAATTGTATGTCGACCCAAGAAGAATGCCTTACACATGCCTCAAAGCATACATGATTTTTTGATGCTCCATGACATGGCAATGCCGTACCTCGCATCAACACCTGAAGCGACCCCACAAGAACTTTAACAGTGATGAAACTATGCACATTTGCCCGAACCCCAAACTGGCCCCAAACCTTAAACCCCAAAGACCTTACCCCCAGCCGATCTTCAGAGGCATCGGACGCCCCGACAACCTCCGCTGCCGAGATCGACACGTCGGCCGAAGTGCGTCCATGGTCCCCCTCGGAGACGTTCCTTGGTTCTTTAATTACAGGGGCCTTTGGAATGTGAGAAATCTATCATAAACTCCAGACACCTTGTATCAAATGTATCAGGTTCTACCCGGGTTTCTCCTCGACCCAAGGAGTTCTACGAGTCCGTCGGTGGCGCCCGGTGCGACACCCCTGGATCCGGCGCGACCTCGGCCAGGAAAATGTGCCGCGGAGTTTCTGGAGCCCCCCTGCGAGATGTTCAACATGATCAGGCAGCTCGGAGTGGCTGCTACTGCATAGCGGGAAACTGCGGCTGATGGTATAAATCCTGCATTACCCATAGTAAGGAATATACCGTAATTCCCATAGTTTAGGGTCCTTAAGGTAATGCAGGATTTTTATCATCAACAGTATCACGAATCATTCAATTCCTAAACCCTAAAATGAAGCTTTAACAACAAAACTAAAGCGTAGAATCCTCGAAAGCCCTGGTTTCAAGTTGCAGGTATGGGATGTCCAACTGGCGCGACAAGGAGGTCCGGCAAGGCCAGGTCGATCTGGAGACCTCCTTCACAAAAGACGACAAGAAGGAAGCCTTGGTAGGGAGCTTCGGAGGACGAGTTTATCTGGTTTACCGGGAAAGACCCGAGCGCATGCGCGACGCCCAGCTGAATGGCAGAGTTTTGCATGCCTGATGACCACATCGTTCAGCATCCGTACTCCAAAGTGCTCGTAGAAGACCCCTGCAAGGGCCCGTCTGGCTGACATGATGATCTGAGTAGTTGTTTCGATGCAGCAAGGATTCAGTGGTTTGGTTCGAAGTGCTGGACTTGCTGGCAGAGACTTGGATCGGTTGGTCTGTCACACCAGGTTCCAAAGCATGGATGTCAGGCAATGTCAGGGCATGGAACGCAGCATCAGGCACAAGAGATTGCATGTTGGAAAGCAAGACGTTCAGATTGAGCTGCGACATTCTCTGCCACATCGCACGAATGAGCTGTTGCCTGCCGGTCTTTGTTGCTTGTGCGACGACATACCACATGCAACATTTATTGTAGGACGCGCAGGGCTTGCCTTCGTGTTGCCCTCTGCCGCTGTCAAGGAAATTACTGCGCAGGTGCAGCTCGACGTGGAGCCCCTAGGCCAAGGACAGCTGTCGTGGTTGGTCGTGCATTCGTTTTGATGCCGCAGATGAAAGCTTGGAAGCCGCTAGGGTCCTGGATTGGGTTTAACACTCCAGGCTACTTGTAGGCTGACAGCTGATGAAACATCGCAGCAATTTCACTGTGCGGAGTTTATGGGGCCGGCATTGGCCCAGGTTCGTCATACACACCTCTGACGTGCCAATGGTGGAGAAAAGTGCCGACAAAGTTTGCGGCCACAAGGACTGCCGGGGAACCAGGGCAAGGTCCTGCCGGCTTCTGGTCGTCCAACTTTTGCGAGGAGCCGAGGTCCTCAAGGCAGCGTTACGTCATTAAGCATCTGCTGATTCCAAAACATCTCGGAGGATCGTTTCGTCTTCTCAGTCTCCAGCGGGCCTTTGTTCTGTGACGTGGCACTGGGTCCTGGTGTGCGAGGAACCAGCTTACTGCGCCTCTCAGATGCACGGTTTGAACAAAGATACCTGGAGTCTTGTGGGCAGCAGTTGGAGAGGCGGTAATAATTAAAGGAATGGGATTGTGCACTGTAAATTCACTTGTCCGTCTGCCCGACTCCGTCGTTCCCTCCTTCCCTTTCCATCGCCCTTGTGCGAGCATCAAATCGTCGAGTGCTGCAGCCCTATACAAGATCTTGCCTTCCAGGCGCAGGGGACGACTTGCGAAAGTCTGACATACCCTACGAGCAGAATCTGCGGCGGCATCATTTGTTAAGTTTTGAGGGTCTGCATTGCCTTCGCACGGCGAGCTTGAGATTCAGATGGAAGTACGCGCCGTGGCCTCCTCCCAGAATATGCTGAGAGCCTGAAGATGCCTGAAGCCTTACTCCTAAAAAGCCCTGACCTTCAACTCCGAGTTCTTAGCCCTGTCCCTGCCTAGCCACAGCCAAAATCCAGAGCTTCTCCTGCTTCCCGGTGAGGAAGATAAATCTCGGCTTCTGGCGTGGCGCCCCCTGGCCTGCCAGGACAGAGTCGCATGGTGGGGGTTATGAGTTATGAACTATTTCGTCTATCTGTAAGTCAAGCTTACATCCACCTTGACATCCACGGCTTGGACCTTCGAACATGTGATTAGGTGCGATAACAGTCAAGAAGGAGCAGCCATGAGCAAAGGCCAAAGTACAGCAGAAGCAACGGTTGGAATGCTGGCAGGCGCGTGGCAGCAGCACAGCACAAACCCATGCCAGCCTACTATTACGGGACGGTCGATCTGATGCCGATGTAGTCTTAAGGGAGAAGCGGAGCAGTGGAAGCATGAGTCAGAAGAAGAATGATCTCTTCCTCATCATGGCTACCATAATCATCATGTCACCAACATCCTCCGGGCCCCTCATCACGGACACTGCAACCGTCACTCTTTCGACACACTTCGGACACGCTAGGTTGCACAGTGCTCCGAAGCCTCGATTGGCTGCGACTTTTCGGTTCCTGGGTGCAGCGCTAGGCTCCATGCTCACCCTGAAAATCCCTCGCTCGCTCCATCTCTCTCTCTCT